CAGTGTTGGCCTAGGAGGAGTAGTGGCAGCGGTGCGGCACGAGATTCACAACACACAACAAAACACACCAGAAAAAAAAGAAAAGAAAGAAACAAAAAAAAAAAAACAAACATGGAACAGATGGTGGGTTAAGGGGTTGAAGAAAGTTCTGGCGGCTCGCCAAAGAGTTGCCCTTCCGCAAAGGTCTTGAGGCCTTTGGCAGATTCTCGCAGATTGAATTCAACACCTACGGAAGAAACTCGGTCGCTCATGGAGTCCGCCTTGGGCCCGTTGTTTCATAACGCCAGCCCAACAGGTCCAGCAGCATGGCAAACGCTGCCTCGGATCGTTTGGCGCGCTCTTGGGGCTGACATTCACATATAATCACCATAGTAGCACGAGAGAAAGCTGAAAATTTGATGCGCTAGCCATTGTATAGCCCGTGCGCATCTAATGAAGGTAACCACTGAGGTTTTTCCCCCAAAGGCATGGAGTACTGTTGAAATCACTCCACATCTACCTTTGGCGGGTTTAAGACGCAGACCCTGGCCCACGGCAATGAATCGTCGGCAATGGCCAGCTGGCGATAAGCACTTTTGAAGTTGAAGGACTTGGCCGAAAGAGAAGTTGACTGCTTGCCTTGCTCTTTGAGAGTCCTCATGCTCTCGGCCATCATCGCAGCGATGGTATCTGTCCCATACACAGTGACTTCACACATGACAATCACAGCGTCATTCACCTGAGACTCGTTGTAGTTGTCAATGCACCTGACCTTGGAAGATTGAACCACAGCAAACCTTCGGGATGGCCGGTGGGTGGAGACGGCCTTTTCACGGCTGATGGGTGCGAGCCAACCCTGCTTCACTTCGTCGCAGGTCTTGCGCCATAATTCTGAATCAATCCAAGGATCCCCTGAGGAGCTAGTGGCGTTCAAAATGGACGCATTGGCAACAGGTCTCCCGCCTCAAGAGATGCAGGTTGCACAGCGAACAAAAACACGCTACAGTCACCTACGGTGCCTACCAAAAGGAAACCATCCGCTAGGTCTTTGGCTACCGCTGCATCCCTATAACCAAGCTTGGTGAACATTTCGCCAAACCAGAGCGTTCTCTTGCCATCCAACACAGCACGACAATGTTCAGGCATGGTGGCGTGAAGCGCACGCTCGGCTGGGTCTAGCCGCTTGGCACGTGCAATCCATTTCTTGAAGAAGGAGGCCCTGTGCTCAAGGATTTCATGGGTGCTCAAGCGCGCGTTCGATTCGATAGCCAATCCCATTGAGGCTGAAATGCCCTCACACAAATGGCTGGGGTGGCCTCGGTTGATGGCCTCCTGGACGAACTCCTGCGGACTCTCACTGCACGTGCTGTCATCGCCCTTGAGTTTTTTCATGCCCACCCGCTTTAACTGCAATCACGCACTGTGTGGTTGGTGGAGTGCTGGCTGGTTCCAACTGGACAGCTGCCTTCCCCGCTTTCCTTGAACAAAAGTGTTGCACCCCTCAGAGCTGTATGATTGATTGCCCCGCATGATGTGCAATGCGATTTTTAGATGGAAGTTGCAAACTGTTTATACTTGTTTCACGATGGCATTTTTGTTACTGGTGTACCCACCAGAGGGGTTGGAAATCAACAACCAGCTGTGAGCAGCTTGTGGCAGAAACACGTTAGGTCATGTCCGTTTCAACTCTCGAATTTGCTTCAAATGTGCTTAGCTTTTCATGCTGTACTTCAAACAACTTTCGCAATTTCTGTCGTCTCAAAGCACCGTCCGCAGATCCCTGCCGTTGCAGGCCTCTTGTTTGTAGCAGCTTGTCGATGGTCATCCGGAAGCATTGATGGGACGCACCGTGCTTCAGGGGTGCGGGCGGTTGCACAATGGCTTCAATGAAGAAGGTGCTTGTGATGGGCGTTGTTATCATGTGAGTGGAGCTGGTCACAAGCAATGCTATGGCCAGACTGGTATACTTCTGGCGCAGCTGCTGATTCCGGCATTCTCGATGCTAGCCACTGCCTTATTGTTTGTTGCGTTCGTTGCACAGTCCGTTTTCATTCCGGTGTTGGAGCCTTAGGTTTCCAAAGGCGTGGCGAAGTTTGGACCTGGAAATTGTGTGCGCCAACTGCGAAAATTCGCACAAGATGCTGCACATGCACCCCAAAATAAACAGGTATCCTCTTGGGTCGGGGAGAGTTCCCACTGCATCGTGCCGATCTTGGCTGTACCATCGTTGGCAAATCTTGTTGCACATCTATGTCCTGCAACCAAGGTGCGTACCGCATGTTCTGCCCAATCTTCATTTGCAACATACGTCGGGAGCTGAAGCGGTAGGATCAAGAGTGTGGGAAGACCACTTGCGAGGCACTCGTTTGTTTGCACTGTCGCTTGAGGCGGTCCGTGTTATTTGTGTTGATGAGGCCAGATAAGCATGCTGAAGCCAGCAATGCTTCTCTCAGCATGCCGCATGATAAGATCACATCACATCACAGCTATTCGCAAATTTGGCTGCAGTGCTTTGCGCTCCTTCCTCATGTTGTGGCAGCTCTACCTGAAGATGCTTCTGCCATGACAAAGTGAACACCCTGTATAGAAACAAGCGTGAGATGTACATCTTCCTGGTTGTCGATTGTGTTGACTTGTTGGGTAGACGTGTTGGAAGCCTGGGTACAGTGTTTTCTAGCTTTTCAATACAGCTTGATAGTACTGATAATGCTTTGTGGAGTACGTCCGGCAGGCAGTTGATGCTTGCGCATCATCGAGCTGTTTCATGCAGTTGCCAGGACGGTGGCAGGGTGCTCCACACATTCCAGCAGGGGGGGTTTGATGCAGAGGCGGGTTCGGGGGGAACTGTGTGATGTGAGGTCGATGACAAAAGCTGGGTCAGGAGACCTTCGACACCAGCATCAAATGCCATCGGTGCGAGGCAGGTGATTCTCTGGAGGCCATGCCTAGAAGTGAAATTTTCATGGGATGTGTTGTCCTTGCACCGTCAGGAAGTGAGTACGCATTGCCAGGCCAGTCAAAGCTTTGCCGCTAGATCCACCACGCGATTGGCAGGCCAGAGAAGCGGCGCGTCTGAAAAGCGAAGCCATCAGGACCCTGCGAGCGAGTTTTCGTGCACACATGTGCAGGACGTGCTGCTGGCAGCCAGTTGGTCAGCGCCTTATGCTCTTTGCTGCAAAGTTTGGGCAGCTTCAGCTTGCCATGAGAAGTTCTATGCAAAGCCAAAAGTTCTTGTCTACCGTGAAGCACATCTGTAAAGGTATGGTTTGTGGTTCGGGGGCCACTGCAGCTGGTCATGGCAAACGCCCGTAAGATCCACAATTTAAGGAGGAAGCAACAACGGACAATTCCTCTTTGCCATTGGCGGCGAGCTGTTCAGAGGAATGGTGAAATTAGCATGTCGACAAAAGAGCTTGGGACAGTACTGGCAGGCATGTTGAACTGGAAAGCATGAGATAAGAGGACATTGGCATGTGGAAATGAAAAGACAGAGCTGAGGCCACTTCGTCCACTGCTGACAGCGAGGTGGCACCGCCATGGGGTCATCATCACTTGGGCCGCGGGTCGCAGCCGCGATTTGGCAGGTCCGCCCAACGAAGCTGAGCAGTCTAGCGGAAGAGGTGCTGCTTCTGTTGGGTTTTAGCACCGGAACTGATACGTGGGCTATGAGGCACGATGACTTTTTTGTGCGTGCGATGCTTTCTCTGCATCTTGATGGATCCGTACAGCGCTGCGTGCCAGGTGCGCATGCTTATGGCCGATGAGATGCAGATGAAGCATGAGATTGAGGATTTGAAAGCCAGACTGAATTACTCTGAATCCCGGGCGCTCCGTGGACAGCGATCAGAGAAGGACGGTGGCCTCGTTAGCACGTCGGCCAGCCCTGCAGCAATCATTGCAGAAGCACTGAAAGTGGCTCCGGCATCCGGGGTTGGCGAAGTGACGATGCTCCGTGACAGCCAGCCCGCGGGTCTGCGGGAAGCCTCGCCTGTAGTAGCAAGCTCCCGCACGACAGCTGGCGAGCAGAAGCCAGCAGCTGTAAAGCCAGCGGCGGCTCTGTGCAAGTCTCAGTGAGAGGTCAGTCTGCCTGCATTTTGTGTAGTTCAGCTCACACCGCAGGCCTGCAGTCGCCGTACAAGGCCCGACACCACCATATCTTGCAGATGCGGGTTACAGCCTCTTGTGGTCTTCGGAAATAGCTTTTCTTTCGCACAATTCGATCATTGCAATCAGACAGGAAAAAGCAGGAAGCAGAACGTGGGTTGGGGAATAGCTCGGAGTGTTTGACTTTGGTCTGGTCCGTCCGCCAGCTGTCATTGCCTTAATGCCCGCAGATTCCGTCATAGCGGCATCTGCGGAAGTTGCAGCACAGGAAGCAGAGAAGGCACTTTGCTCAAGAAGTTGCTAGTGTATCCTGAATCCACTTATGCGAAAACACAGGCAGCTGCGGAGGCAGAGCTAGAAGCACAAGGTGCGCAAGGTCAATGCCTCGAAACCATGCAGGGCATCGATCTGACAGTGGCGCAAGAGTATGCACTGCGCAGGCACAACTCAGCCGATGCAGCCAGCGACGTCCACTGTAGCTCCACAGTTCCGATCTGAGTCACAGAACAATGCATAGCATGTCGCAGGAAGCGTGCATCCCAGGCCACAAAAGATGATCGCCAATACTGCACAGGAAGAGTCCGAGGCATCAACATGAAAGCGCCAGAACACTGTGCTTAATTCCATCTTTGCAGCATAGCGGTCAACTGGGATTTACGTTGGCAGCGCAGTCTGCTACGCATGGCAATGTCTCTGCAGAAGGAATTCGGACTGGACGAGCACATGTTGCATCAAAGCTGCTCATTAATTCATATTCAGGAAGAAAAGCTCGCAGCCCTGCTTGAAGATGGGGACGCAGGCCGCCCGAGATTTGCATGTGAATGTGCAATGGGCCGTTTTCCTCATAAGCAGTTTGCCTGTGAGGTGCGGATGTGTGCGGAGCTTACTGTTCTAAAGAGTCTTGCAGCTGGGTAGGGCTTTGGACTTGGACGAAGTGTGAGGTAGGCAAGCTATGGCAGCTGAGTGGAGGATTCTTACACAGAGAATCCTAAAAATAGCACGTCTGAAGGATTCGCGGAGGAAAGAATGTGCTGAAACGTCCTTTAAGGAAGTATTGCTTCAAGCTGAGAGGTGTCAGACATGCCGGCTCATGTGTATCAAGTCTTTGTGTGCCAAGCCTTGCCCCACAGCTTCAGTCCGAAGTGGTAGAGATGGGCAATGGCGCTTCTGCTGCTGCGGGACTTGCGGCAGCTGCCAGCAAGATGGATGAAAAGGAGCTGAAGGACGTCGTGTCAGCATTAGACAAGTCAACGGCTGACAAGCTTCGCAAGGCTCTTGGCAATCAAGAGAGTGAGCCGTTGCCATCGCACATGAAGTGCGCTATTTGGCTTTGGGATGCTGCTGTGACTAAGCAGGAGTTGAGCAAGTGCGAACTTGAAGGGCAAGTTCCAGACATTGTTGGCAAGGACATTCTTCTGGGCAAGAACTTGTTTGAGAAGGAAGCAGATCAAAGCAAGGTCGACAAGATGGTGAAGGCCATGTGTTTCCAATTTCTGCAAGACCAATGTGCGGCGGAAAAGCCCTACGAGCCACCGGCTGAAACCAAAAGGCGTTGTGTCTACATGTGGGATATTGCGACCGTAGAGGAGTTCCTGTCCGAGCTTAGCATCAAATCCGCTGCAATGGATGGCAAACTCATGCTGACCGCTGGACAGGTCAATTTCACCTCATCTGAACAGGAGAAAGTTCGGGGTGCACTCGGGGATGTTGGCCGCATGCTCATGCAAGATTTGGCAGCTTCCCAGTGACATCCTACAATCTCTCCTAGTCCGAGCAAAGTCTCGCTTGGCTTTCAAGTGTTTCAAGCACCTATGCCTTTGTATTTGATGCACCACGAACGGCACTTCAGCTATCATCAGCTGAGTGCCTCACAATCAAGCATTTGCAAGCAGTCAGTCAAAATGGCCTCCAAACTAAGTGCCGAGTTGGGACTAAGCACTGGATTCCGCGGAGCTGCTTCTTCTCAGCACCATGTGCGAGACATGATAGGAAAGAAGCACAAGCCTGCAAAACCTGACTGACCATTTTCTTCATGCATGGCCACAGAGCTGCCGTAAGTTCCCCATACCCAACAGCCAGCTTGGAGACCGTATTGAGGATGCAGGCTGATTGCATGGAAGCAGCTCGGCGCTGGTTGAATGATGATGCTGCAATACAATTGTGGAATGAAAATCACCCGGAGCGCAATCTACCTGAGCTTCTGAAAACTGGCGGCGGCTTTGCAGCTCGGCTGCGATTTTTTGGACATTTCCAGCGTCGCTTAGACAATTTGGGACCGAGGCAAAGATCCCTGGTTTCCTGCCGGAGAACGTTGCGGAAGCTGTTTGTGCCTCCTTGCATGCGTTGGACAGCTGGGAGCGAGCTGGAGAGGGTGGCTGCGATGACTTGGCTGCTTGGATACTACTGCTTGGATGGCCCAACGGCTTCAAGAAGTCTTTGGTCAAGGCAGTGATGACCAAGTTATCGGCACATGACATTTCTGTTGACAGATAGCATGCACGGTAAGTAATTTGATATAAGCAGCCCGCTGCAAAATGAGAGCCAAGGAGTACACAGATCGTGTGCGGCATCGCTTTTGGATTGCCGATGTGGAAACTGATGATATTCTTCTTGGCGCCTCACGTGTCCTTGCAAGGTGAGTGCTATTAGTGCTTGGCAGGGTACTCATAGAGATCGTGCGCAACCTTCAGAAGCCCATCTTCGTAATCAAGCACGCTGCCTGCTTCCGAGCTGATTTGGCTCACGACCTCGGAACCCTGAGGGTCGGAGACTTGCGGCTTTCTGCATGCCATACACACACAGACTATCGCAGAGTCGTAGGGTAGATCCTTGCGAATCAATGTCACCTTCTTCGCTTTGTTCAGTGCATGTCTCACGTAAGTGGAACAAGTTTGCCATACAAAGCACCCCCCGCCAACCTGGCCTGGCCTCTTGCAGCTATGGAGCCTATCAGGGAGAGCCCTGAAGAAGGCGCCCCCACGTCTGCGTCCACGCAGCATGGACGCATTCGAAAGCGTACCTTAGTACGGTTTTAAGCTCGGGTGCTGAAGCTTGTGGGCATGGCGGGTTCTGCAGACGCAAAATGGGCCTGAGCAGATACGTTGATGCTTGATACGGTGAGGTCCTTCAGCCCGCCTGGTTTCAAGCCTGCAGAGCCTGCAGGGCCTGGAAAAATGACCAGCGCTGCACCCATCTTGCGAGTATCTCGAGTAGATTGCTTGGCTTGACTGTGCTGTCGCATGCTCTTGCGATGAGACCCCCCCACTTCTAAGGCCTTGCTGCAGCTCTCAAACTGGACCCTAGCCTCATGAGCCAGCCCCTCAGACATGCGTGCAGATGTTGCTACATGAATCTACATGATTCGTGATGTTTGGTGGTCTACTGGCTGTTGCAGTGTAAGTGTAAAATGTATCTGCAACATGCCCTCCATCAGCATCACACTGTCAGGTCTCTTTGAAGCACAGGAAGCCTACGGAAAAATTCAGGACCAGATCAATGCTGTGATATCTCGTGCCCGGACTTTATCAATGCTCTAGGTGGGTCGCAGAAGGCGACGGGGACTGTTTCGGGGCTAACATCAACAGTCAAAGGATGCGCCAAGCTGATGCCTCCGCTTGAGCATTGTTCAGGGTGATGCGATGTTTTGTTGCTTCTGCTTTGGTGGGGATATGAAGTTCAACGAAATAGTTTGACTTATCTTATGGGAATCGAAGGCGTATGGGCAGCCTGTGACCAAAGAAGCTGCCAGCGCACCATTTGGAAGGAGTTTGCGGATCTGCTGACCAAGCACCAAGATCAGGCCGCTGCACACCAGCGCTGCGAAAGTTTACACACATGACCCCCAAACAAAAGATTGCCTACTTAACGTAGCATGAATGGTGTTGCGCTGGTTTCCCAGCAGTACTAAGTAATGAGGTATTCGGAAGCAAGTCCGGTGAAGTCGCGACTGCAGAAGAATCAGAGCTGTCAACATTTTTCATGTGGGGGGTACTGAGCTTCTGACAGGTGAAGGTCCTCGAGGAGCGAGAGAAGAAGAAGGCATGCATAATTTTTCGGGGGCTAGCTTGAGTGGATTGCTGACCATGTGACATGTGATGAAAGTCACTGCTGTGCCTTTGGAAATACGCATGCGGCCGGCCAGACAGCTGAGCTCAACATCGCGCGTCAGGCCGATTGAAACGTGCTTTGCTGTCAGTAAGGAAACGATTGCTTGATGCTCGGTGTGATGCTGTCTGAAGGAGCTGAAGTCATTGCGGAAGCAGCTGTCCACAATGTCCGAGCACACCGAGCCACAGCAGGCGCACTATGATTGATTGGCGCATCAAACTGTCAGAACCCTCACTGTTGTTTCACCACCGTTCTTCTCGGATTCTGCATTCTTCAGTGGCTTGGGAACATTCACGGGAAAGTAGCAGACCACGTTGTTTTGACCCTCTCAGGAATTGAATGCTGTGGGTCAAGAGAAGGCTCAAATGGAGCGAGAATTATGGACCAGCCCTCAAGTGTTTGGTCAGCTTCTGCTAGGCTGCTTTCAAGTCAGACTTGTCGTTCAGCTTTATCCGTTGGGTGTGTCAAGTCACTGCAGTTGCTGGAAGTGAGCCTGGAGTTTGCAAGGCACTATTAGAGCACCACGGATCCATTGATATCAGAACAAACTCAATCGCTCACAGCCCATAGCCGTTGACCGCCCATGACCCAATCCAAGCTGCTGTGCTTGGCTTTGTTAGAAAGCTGCATTGTGGCCAAGGACTATGCAGAAGCTTCATGAAGCTATGCACCAGGACCTCCTGAAGGAGCAGAGCAGGTGGGTGCCATGAATCGTAGCGCATGGTAGAGCACCCAATGAATCCTGCAAGGCTGTGCGAGCCCATAGCTCCTTCTTGGCAAAGTCTTGGGAATCTGCAGATTGATTACGGAATTGTCTTAAATAACGTCAACGGGCAGACTTGCTGACCTTGTGCTGCCAGTCGCGCCCTGCACCAGGTCACATGCGCTTCGTAATGAACTTCGGCGTTTGAGATCTGACGATGTCTGCGTCCTCAGGCATGTCACGGATCTCAGAGAACAGCGACAAAGTGTGACACGTGCGCCTGCAGTTTGTTGTGATGTTGTTTGAGGTTGTGGCCAGCGTGATGGAAGCACCACATGCCCGCGCTGCTGGAGGCCAGCTGAAAGGTTTCCTGTTTCATGTTAAGTCATGCAGGAAGATGGTTCTCGTTGTAACTGCAGTGCCACCGGCCCATACCCGCCCCCTCTTTCACGCTTGACTCCTGCACGTGCGGCTGGGCCCAAACAAATCACGTGTACAACGTCTTGAGGAATCAGGTTTTCCCGTGGAACGGAACGACAGCTCAAGGGCCTCTTGCCGTTTTCTTTCCATGCATGGCGACAGGTGCTGCATGGAGAGTGACCGTATACACAGTATACCTCTATTGTAATTCCCCAATCTTCGAGGCACTATTCCAGGCAGCGAGGCCGGTGCCTCAAGGGGCTTGGGCTCTTCAAGCTACGGCAAATGTAGTGCATTTCTGCTTGGCTTCATTCACAAGCTTCACTCGTCCCTGTAGAATTCAGAAATGACGCAGGGAGCATTTGAACTGCAGGAGATGGATGCACTGCGAGCAGCAGCGTCTGCGGCGCAGGCCGCACTGTGTCTCCGCCGACTTCCCTGAGACGCAGTCATGGGGGGCTTCCGATTATCACCCCCAAACAAGAGGTCCAGCAGGGTGCTGTCCAAGGTGCTGTTGTGACTAAGGGCAGTGGTGCGTAGTTTCAGCCCGTGCAAAGTGCTGTCCAGGGGGTGCTGGGTGCTGTCTAGGGTGCTGTCAGGGTTGCTGGCAAGGAGTTTGTGAGTGCTGGCCAGGCCAGGTGCTGTCCAGGTTGCTTCGGCTGCTGGGACCTGGTGGGGGGTGGCACGCAGCGGGCCAGGGTGAAGTGCTGCGGTGGATGCTCTGAGCCATGCGATTCGCGGCGCTTTCCAGGTGAAGGGCTTGCGTGGTTCAGTCCAGGGTGATATACATGGTGGTACTACTTGGATCCGCTTGACGAGGATTTTTCAAGTCGGCTATGCCTGCGCTCGTCTCTAGCGTATCGACTGAGCTAATTATTTGGAGTCTTTGCTGGTTAAGTTTTAAGCAGTTTTAAGGTTCAAGGTCACTTTTCGCAACGCTGGAGATGGACTCCACGGACCCGATGTTGTTCATGGCGCTGAAATGCCGTGACAACATCGGGGCTGTCCATAATGCTGGTTGGAATTCAAGGCGCGAAAATTTCATTGTGGTAGAGAACTTGTTTTGAACATTTTGAGCCTGAGAGAGTCGCCCACCCCCATGTTTTTCAAGTTGATCGCTGCAGGAATCCCTGCACTACATGTTGGTTTTTCCTTGAGACTCAGTGTTGATTTGGCCTGAGCATTGCCAAGCAACAGGCAAAAAAAGATCCCCTCCCTGGTGTTGCCTACGATAGATTTGTGTACGTGAGGCCAAAACTGTCCTACCTGCAGAAGCAACAATGGCGAAAACGTGACCAATTCGATAGTCCATGTGCTCGGCCTTCTCAAACCAGAACCTGACCTAGCAGCTTTGATTTTTGGCTTGCGCGTGGTGTGGCGAGGCAGAACTGGCGGCAATCCGCGCCAAGGACAATGCCACCGCAGTTGGCTCCAACTCTGATGAAACCCGATTCAGTCGTTTCAGTCTGCAGGACCAGTCGCCACAGCCCACTTCAGCCGCGGTCCTGGAAGTGTGGTGCTCCAGCGATGCATAGCTTGTTACTGCCAGGCCTACCAGCAGGTCCTCGAGAAGCAGCTGGCAGCCATGAACTGCCGAATCGAAGAGCTGCAGGACTCCTGCGACCCAGTTCTATGATTTTGGCTTGTGAGAGCCTTCGACTGCCCTTGGACAGGAGCATCTTGAAGAAGAGATGACCAACTCTGACGCCCTCATGGCTTCTCATGAAGAGGCCATCCCCGCCCAGTTGGCAGGAGAGCTTGGAACTTGTGCAGATTACTGCTGTGAGGTTATCGAGGTCGTTGAGAAACTCAAAAAAGAAAAGTCGCGTCTCAGCGAGAGGCTCGCAATGGCTGCGATACCTGTCAACATAGTGATGTTCCTGATGCAGCAGTCAAGGACGAGCTGGAATACCAAATTATACTAACGAAAGGGAAATATGCAGAGCATCCTCAATCTTCAACACGACCTGCAGGCTTAGCAAAAATGAAGTGAAGCTGAAAGAGCAGGAGAGCAAGAGGAAAAAAGCTGTAGCTGCGCAGCAGAAGGCAGAGGTGCGGGTGGCATTGAACGGACCCCGATTTGTAAGAGATGCCTAGTCTCCCTTGGAGACTCTGTTGAAGGCCAGCAAACTGGAGCTGGAGTCAAAACTGCAGGACAAGGAGAGCGAGCAACAGAAAATGGAGGCGCGGATGGTATTGAACGGAAAGCGGCACATGCATGAACCGTATATCCTTGGAAGAGACCTTCTGCCATGTTGCAGGCGTCCTTGCAAGCCACTAATGCGGAGCTGGAGGCCAAGCTCACAGACAGCGCGAGCAAGTTCATGGAAGCTCTAGCTGCGCTGCAGATGCTGGAGGCGCAGGTACCTTTTTATAAATGGAGAGCACTGGGCGCACACAGGAACTAGGATTCATATGAACAGACGTCTTCTGTCATGCTTGGAGGCCTCTGGGAAGGAAAAGGACGCTCATATCAAGGAGAAGGAGGCTCGAGCGTTCTTGAACCGACAGTGGCGTCTCTCTGAGCAATGTTGATTAGCAAGAAACCTCTCATCTTGCTAGGAGGCTTTCGTCAGCAGGACGAGTGATCTGGAGCGGGAGTTGGAGGAAGCGGAGGCGCTGGGCGTACGGAATGGAGTTTTTTTTCTTTGGTTTTTCCTCTTTTTGTGACTTTTGTGTTCCTATTCCATAATGTGCAGAATCCGAAACGAATCAAGACCAGAATGTGCAGTAATTTGCAGAATCTGAAGCGTCGCTTTTTTCATACCGTCTATGATTTGCAAATGGGCGGCCCTGCCCCGTTTTTTCAGCAGCCCATGCTTGCGACAAAAAATCAACATGATGTCATCGCCATGTTTGCATCAAGGTAAGGTTGGGCGTGCGGCATCTGTTTGATCGACTTAC